GCGTATTTTTCTATTGTCTGGGACGACAAAAACAGAATTGCCTGAAATATATATAGTTCATTAGATTATAACCTTAAAATATTAAACTATTAATTAAATGGTGTTTTAATAATTACTTAGTTTATCAAATATTAAAAGCCCTGGATTTTCTGGATCTTCTGAAATCTTGATATTGCCAGCATCGTCCAGACACAGCATATGCTGATTAAGGTTCAGGGTTATGTTTTCCATCACTGCATTTGCCAAACCAGCCAAACTTTAAAGTGAGATTTTCCTTCCTCACGCAAACACGCAAACAACCTTTTGGGTTTGGTTGAATGTTTGAGTCCTACCAAACTAACGTGTTAGCATCGGTGACGTCACAACCACTAACAAAAATGACTGCGGTCGCTTCTGGTTGATCGTGGTTGGATAACGAAAATACGCCTTAAGTTTACCACCTAATAATTAAGAAACGACTAGGAAATAGCCTTTAAAATTGAAAAAATACATGCAATTATTATACAATTATTATACAGCTGATGGGGTTTGTGTATTCACTTGGTGCATATAAACACACACACATACCCCAGATAGCACAAAAGTTTCAAAAAGCTTTCAGAAATGTTTCTGAAACATTGAATCTTTCTGAGATCTTTCTGAAAGCTTTTTGAAACTTCTGTGCTATTTGGGACACACACAATTGATGCATAATTATATTGTTTCCATGCGATTTGTAACTCGGGCCTGAAAAATGTCCAAGTAGATTATATTTGTGCATGAAATGTACATTATGCATGAAATGTGCATTATCATTACATTCACCTGTACTTCTCTTATAGAAATATCATACTAAGAATCATTGATAATTACTTATTATCCAGTATTTTTAATACTGAAAATAAATAATTATCAATGATTCTTAATATGATATTTCTATGGGAGCGGTGCACTTGGACACGGTGCATTTGGACACAGCCAATCACAGCACCGTGTGATTAGAGACATTTGTAGGGTCCCTTGGAACAGCGACTTGTGATTGGACTGTGTCCAATTGCCCCGTGTCCAACTGATATACACCCTATTTCTATAAGGGTTATATATACAGGGTATTAGAAAAGTCTGGAAACGATCAAATATCTCGAAAACAAACATTTTAAAGAAAACTGTTTCAGATAAAAGTTGTTTGGTTCAAAAGGATTTATAAAAAAGTGTAGTTAACCTTGAATAGTCATTTGAAGGTCATATGAAGGTCATCTTCAATTTTTTAGATGGAACACTCCATATATTATTACATATTCTTATAGCTTATCTCGAGAACTTTCCAAAACACTATAACAAAATATTTTTTTGTTAAGAATTTTTTGAGTAATAACACTTGAAATTTCCATCACTTTGACATAGAATACAAAATATCTCGTAAATTATTCATCTTTCGATTATCTTGCCTTAATGCTTTTTTGCACAGAATATTGAAACAAATTAATTGGTTAAAAAAAACAAAAAATTTTTAACATAATAAATATAAAAAAATTTTTTGTGATTTTTTCACAGCGGCTGTTAATTTTAAAAAGTTTGTCATTCTGTATTCAAGAAAAAATTTTCTGATGTTATTCAAATAAACATATTTACATAGAAATAAAATGCTCATTCATTCAACACTCAATTGAGGTTCATATTGCTCGCATGCCTGAGTGATATTTCACTTTCACACGTGAATCCTCATGCGTGCAAGCAATATGGCACTCAATTGAGGACACATCTGTCAGGCGTATAACGTTCACGCCATGCGGATAATCCCGTACGCGTGCGCGCACCTTGAGATCATTATGCACGCATTTTGTTATCTGGGCAGTGCGTCTCAAGGAAAAACGTTATTAGACTCGGACGATGGATATACCTTTTGGCAACCTCTTCCAAATTCAGCATGCAAATTTAATCATTATGATGTTTTATACGAAGGAAATGCCATAAAAATGCAAGACAACATAGGTTTACAAGACACTATAATTTACACATTGACAACACGAGACATTACATTTGCCCTAACTTTAACAAGACCACATGTTATTTGTGAATATATCCTAATGGGAACTGAGAATCCAAAATTGTTTATTTTTTAAGTAAAGCAAGGAAATACATTCATAACAAAAACAGAAACTCCTATTGATAATTTAGATATTTTTACATATATAAACTCCAAATTTGTATATGTCGAAAGACCCAGATATTAGGACCCAGATGAAGGTATTGTACTATGATATAATACAACAAAAGTGCGAGCTAGAAAAACAAGTGTTACAAAATACCTTGTCTCTCGCAACATTATTACGAATTTGCTTTCCGTCTGATGAAGGCACCTGGATATATGGCTGTTGCCACTGGCGAGGTTACACATGTTGTAAAGTGTATAAGGGAAGGTCAGGTAGTAGCGAACAGCGGTTAGTATCGTACAAAAGTTGTTTCAAGCATTTGCCGCTGAAGGCAGCACCTGTGAAACAATCGACGTGTTGACTGAAGGAGTTGACCACCCCCCTCTTTCAGTCAACATGCTGATTGTTTCACAGGTGCTGCCTTCAGCGGCAAATGCTTGAAACAACTTTTGTCCTATACTAACCGCTGTCCGCTATTACCCGACCTTCCCCTACCGCTCGAAGTCGTACTACGACGAACAAATTCATGCTTCACCGATTTACCAGTAATGCTCAGTAATACATTTTACTTCATAACGCCTAAATCACGAATTCTTACACAATACAGCACTGAAAGAAACTGTAATCCTCTTTTACCTGTACAATTTCACATGGTATTACCAGATACTGAAACCTTCAACAAAACTCACATGGATATACTTAATCCCAGGATATACTTAATCCCGCACTCGCAACTAATGGCATTTATTTCGAGAAAGATTTAGAAAACTTACGTGATCATATCCTGTTTCCCCCTGTTTCCCCCTGTTTCCTGCGGAAAAAGGGGCAGTACTACATATCATCGCCCGAGGATTTGCAAAACAATTGATTAACGACGGCAGCATTTCAATTCAGCATTTACTAGACAAAGATACATTAAACAAAATATACAATAACACCATTTCTAGAATATGGAATGGCTTTGTCACTTTCGGATCTACGGCAGAAATTCGGAATCTTTGTACTCATACGAATTATAAAAATTGTATTCGATACTTTAATACACGGTTATACATTACACTCTGCATACGGATGCAGTTTACACATGCTTGGTGCATTATGGAGCTTAGTTACACACTTACACTTACATTTAGCAACCTAAAAAGAAACGAAAAGAAGAAACATCACCAACAGCCGACGGAGAATTATTAAACAAAACATCGAATCAACAAAATACACATACAACAACCACTATACCGTCCGTATATTCTTATCACGAATTACAAACACAAATGGACGAAACCAGATAAATCCTTCAAAACTAAAGTATTTCGAAATTTTTATTATAAGAAAGGGGGTGTAACGTCCGGATTTATTTTAAAACACTAATAATATATTAATATAGATCGGAGGCCGACTTGTCTGATTTCAGACATCACTTATTTTATCCCTATGTTACTAGATTAGTACGTGCGCATGGGTGTATATCAGTTGGACACGGGGCAATTGGACATAGTCCAATCACAAGTCGCTGTTCCAAGGGACCCTACAAATGTCTCTAATCACACGGTGCTGTGATTGGCTGTGTCCAAATGCACTGTGTCCAAGTGCACCGCTCCCCGTGCGCATATGTATATTCGCGCGCCTTAAACATTATAATTAAAATTATAATGCTGAATACTGCGTGTTGTTAGAGAGTCTTAAAATCGATGGATCAACTAAGAGA